AGAGAGAGAGAGAGAGAGAGAGAGAGAGAGAGAGAGAGAGAGAGAGAGAGAGAGAGAGAGAGAGAGAGAGAGAGAGAGAGAGAGGCTTCTTGCCTGTTTAATGGTTTAACCTTCCTAGTCATGCCGTTTGAATCTCTTCAGACTCGGAGGCATCAGGTATGCTGAACAGATACAGACACAATTTGTTGTTGTTGTTTCACATGTTGTTCTTGTCTTTCTTTCTTTCTTACTTTCCTCCTTTCTTTGTTTCTTTCTTTCATCCTGAGGGGAGTTGATGTGGGGGTGGTGTGGGGTTCCACTTTCACTGATGAAGAGATACTGCCCCCATTGATTTCATTATCGATGGCTGGCCAGCATCTCTTAATCCGTTGAAATGGCACACTGCCCCCCCCCCGCCCCCTCCTAGTAGGTGGCGTCGAGCTGCTCAAATCTATTGGTTTGGAGCAATACCTGCTGGAAACTGGGTCCAGCATCCCAGTACAATAGAAACTGAAAAAAAAAAGAAAAAAAAAGAAAAGAAAAGAAAGTGCTTTCTTTCTCGGTGGCAGTAGTTCCTAACTTATATAGCTCCCTGTTTGTTGTTTTTCCACCCAGGATATGATAATTCGCGGGATCAAACCCGACGTGAATGTCTACAACGCTGTCATTCTTGCAAACGGGGCGAATGGCAAGCCATGGCTGGCAAGAGATGTTTACCGGCAAATGCGTCGAAGAGGGTGCCTTCCTAACGAAACCACAGAGCGTCTCATTCAAGAGTTTGGCACCGTTGAGCCCGTGCAGCAGAAGCTCACTAAGGCACAACGCCGGAAGCGCCGGAAGAAGATGGCAGAGGAAAGGAAGAATGCCATGGAACGTGGTCAGCAGTTTGTTTATTATTCTAAGGGTGCCGGCCTTAAGGGTAACAAGGGACCCTCTAGGGGCCATGGTGAGGAGAAGGGGGACAAGGAGGGCGGCTCGGCAGCGTCAACTGATGTACACAGTCAGTTTTCAAGGTGAAAGAGACATGAGCGTCACGTTCATCCCCTTTCCCAAATTGAATTCTGGCAAAGGATTCTTTTTTATTATTTTGCATTTAGAAAGCCGACAGCCCGTAGACGATGCTATTGTCAAGGGTCAAATAGATAAAGGGTTGGGTTGGGTTGTTTCCTCATGCGTCAGGGAGAAATTACTCCCTCCTCCCTTCCAAGACAGAGGGTTGGAAAGGACTTCGCCACATTGTTCTTTCTTCTTCTTCTTTTTCTTCTTCTTCTTCTTCTTCTTCTTCTTCTTCTTCTTCTTCTTCTTCTTCTTCTTCTTCTAAACCGGAGCCCCCTAATAACAGAGGTGATACGAGCATCCCCCTCTAGTAGGGCCGGCGCCAGCGGCCGCTGTCTGTTGGTGGGGGGCTGCCACAATCTTATTTTTTTGTAAGCCGATCTTGTTCTCTCTGAGACCGGAGCTCATTTTCTTTGTTGTTGCTTTTGGGTTTATAAATCTGCAGTGTGTAGGTAAACAATGGAAGCCAGAGAGGCCCAGAAGGATCAACACCAATCAAAACAACAAGAACGAAAGGCAAAACAAAGCGTAATGTGAGAAGGGCGGCTGTAAAGCAGGAATTGTCTGGGGCAAGGTGTTTTGCAATCGAATCGGTGTTTTTCTGTCCTTGTTTTTTTTTTTTTTTTTAACGGACTCTTGTGGTCCTGGCACCGTTCTATTCTGGGGAGCGTCATTGTTACGAATCTTATGAACCTGGCTATTTCCGAAGTGCAAATTCACAAGGAAAGACAATGCCACCCAATTGCAAAAGAAATGAAAGCACTTGCGAAAAGAGAGAAACCAAAGAAGAAGAAAGAAAGAAGAAGAAGAAGAAAGAAAGAAGAAGAAGACAAAGAAGAAGAAGAAGAAGAAGAAGAAGAAGAAGAAGAAGAAGAAGAAGAAGAAGAAGAAGATGTACACCAGCAAGACCAATGACAAATCCCCCTTCTCTCTCCACTTTCCTCCTCCTCCTCGTCTCCAGAAATCTGATTCTTCTACCAAATAATAATAATAATAATAATAATAATAATAATAATAATAATAATAATAATAATAATAATAATAACAACGAGTGGTTGAACCAGAATCAATATCCAAAGTTCCTTCTTACTGCTAGCACAACAATAGGTCCACCATAGCCATGGCTTCCTCTCACATGCCAAGGCTATGGCGGACTACTAAGGGCTCTGCCCTCCTGTGCAAAAGACAACACAAAGCAGCTATGATCGCTGCTCTTCAGGCCGCCATGCCTGACTCTGCCTCGAAGTTTCCTGGGTGAGGCACTACTTGCCTCTTGGGCAGTGACTTTCAGGCTGCACGGCCTCCAAGCAGCCAGTACCTCCTCCCTTTCGGAGGGAAACATCATTGCAGGATCTGATATCGTCCGTACAGGCCCTAGACTGAGGCTACTCGGACTGGTACCCGCCTACGTCTAGCCAACCACTACTGATACATGCCCAGTTGGGCAATGTATGCACAGCCAAGGATCCGCAAGGTGATGAAAAGGACTGAATGGACAATGCAGTGTTAGTGGAATCTCAACAAGCAATGTACATCCGGATACATACAAAATGGCACTTTGTAGCGCAGTGGAAGACTTGGATATAAGTCCTGACCTGACCGGGACCGACAGGATATCCCATCATACTTCACACATGTGAGAGGAGGAGGAGATACCAAACTGTTGCATACCATAATGGTGCAAACCAGAACAAGGACCGACCTCCCTCACATAGTAGAAGATAGCGCAGCGGAATGCTAGGATRCCAATGATCAACCCAATCAATGTTGCAATGCAGACTAAACATACATCATCATCATTACAAGGTGTGAAGGGGCCTGGCGCTCACACAGGAAGAATGCGCCAGCCCCAAACATCCACAGACGAAGAAGAGGGGGATTAGACAAAGATGAGGGAGAAGATGGGAATGTCATCAGACAAGTGTCCCTGGTATCGATCCCAAATAGTCCCTCGTCAATGTGTCTATCCCAAAGTCGAGTCGGTATCCCAAGGTCGTCAACATCTCCAAAGTCACCAATCTCTCTCTAACTCGTAGTCTGCTGAGGCCGAGAGGTCAGATAGTGAGAGGGTGAGGAAGAGATGGTGGACTGAGAGGAGGAAGAAGAAGAACTCTCTCTCTCTCTCTCTCTCTCTCTCTCTCTCTCTCT